AAGCTAGTTCGATGTTTGTGTGTGGTTAAAGATAGCGAAACAAAGAAATTTATCCTGATAATACGTTCAATCTGTAAAGATGACGACTAAAAGACGACTGATGTACTTGACTCTGAATGATCTAAACAGTGGATTATGTAATTATCTAAATCCGGTGCCTGTCAAATAATGGTCCACCTACTTGACTGTTAAGCAGTGAACACCAACCTTCGAACTGATGTGTTAAGTGCTTGGGACGGTCCTTTGTGCTTAAACCCTGAAACAAAGTCTTGAAATTGGCATCTTATAGAAAAAAAAAACTTGGTACTAATCAAGTGTAAACGGTAGAAACAAATTACAACTTTAAAACTGATGTTTGCATTATCAATTAACGGTCCTTCTGCCTTTTTCCAGAAGAAATGGAATCTTGCAATTACCGTGTGAGTGCAGTACACGGTCACAATACTATTCTTTTAACAGAAAAAAATAAACTGGTAGAAGCAAACTACAACCTAGAAACTGATACCAGTAAAAGAGATACTGTATACCTACTAAACTATTAAACAGTAGAAACAGACTACAACCTAGAAACTGATACCAGTAAAAGAGATACTGTATACCTACTAAACTATTAAACAGTAGAAACAGACTTCAACCTTGAAACTGATGTATGACAAACATGACCATTCTACTGAACTGTTAAACACTTGAAAAATATCACAGCCTTGAAACTACGCTTAATAGACAAGACCCACCTATTAAATTATTAGGAACAGACTACAACCTTGAAACTATGTTTAACAGACAAGACCATCTACTGGATTGTTAGAAACAGACTACAACTTTGAAAGTGATGTCTGATAGACATGATGACCCACCTACTAAACTGTCAAACAGTAGAAACAGATTACAACCTCGAAACTATGTTAGAAACAGACTACACTCTTGAAACTATGTTAGAAACAGACTAAACTCTTGAAACTATGTTAGAAACAGACTACACTCTTGAAACTGATGTCTGATAGACATAGACTACAACCTTGAATTGATGACTTACCAATTAAATTGTTATATAGAAGTAACATACTATAACCTTGAAACAAATATCAGATATCTTCTAAACAATTATATAGTAATAAAGCAAGACAAGTCCCACCTTCTAAACAATTAAAACTAATGTCCAGACACAACTCCTCTTCTAAACTGTTATACATTAAAAACAAATGTCCAGACACAATTTGTATTCTAAACTGTTAAACAGTAAAAACTAATGTTTAAACACATCTCATCTTCTAAACTATTATGCAGTAAAAACTAAAGTCCAGACACATCCCACCTTATAAACTGTTATACATTAAAAACAAATGTTCAGACACTACTAATCTCCTAAACCAGTGTTTCTCAACCTTTTGTTGCTCGTGGCTACCCTTTTGAGTTTGATTTATCTCTGTGGCCCCACCCTTCGTAGACGATGTTACTTAGGAAAAAGTTATTTCATTTCCACACTGTTAATTTATAATATATTTATAATAGTATAATATTATTTTTACAATATTGTATTGTTTTTAAATATTTTGTTTATTACATACTGTTTACTTATACAAGTAAAAAAATACTCTGTTAATAATTGACATTCTATTCAGTGTGATCCTTGCGCCTGATGAACATTTGAAAGTTTTTGAATGTCGGGTTGAAGCGTGGTCAGTGATAAGCGAAGAAAAACATCAAGGCAGTAACGTATTTTTGATAGCAAATAAGTCACCCGACTAAAACCAGATTCAACCAGATAAGATGTGGGGAACGCGATAAAATACAATGTTGCCTTCTCCCAGACTGTGGAAACTTATTAGCTATTTCACTACTTATCCAGAAATAATGTTTGTCACATTTGAATCTGGCTTAGGCTGTTATATCACTCTGCTGCTCTTAAGAATCAGTCGAAAACATTCACAGATACCAGACAAACATTTCGATTGTAAACTCGAGTACTAGTCGCGTCTGGTAACTTGACTTCTGAGCTGTGAGGGATAGGGGAGAAGGGAACCTTTTATTCAATTTTAAATATTTTATTCGAACAGTGAAGTTTCGGTGGCCCATCAGAATTTACTGTGACTCCCTAATTTTCCGTTATTCACGTGTGGCCCACGTTGAGAACCACTGTTCTAAACTGTTATACAGTAAAAACAAATATTCAGACACAATTCATCTTCTAAACTGTTATACAGTAAAAACAAATATTCAGACACAATTCATCTTCTAAACTGTTATACAGTAAAAACAAATGTTCAGACACAATTGGTATTCTAAACTGTTATACAGTAAAAACAAATGTTCAGACACAATTGGTATTCTAAACTGTTATACAGTAAAAACAAATGTTCAAACCCATCCCACCTTCTAAACTGTTATACAGTAAAACTAATGTCCAGACACAACTTATCTTCTAAACTGTTAAACAGTGAAAACTTATGTTCAAACCCATCCCACCTTCTAAACTGTTATACATTAAAAATAAATATTCAGACACAATTCATCTTCTAAACTGTTATACAGTAAAAACAAATGTTCAGACACAATTGGTATTCTAAACTGTTAAACAGTGAAAACTTATGTTCAAACCCATCCCACCTTCTAAACTGTTATACAGTAAAACTAATGTTCAGACACAATTCATCTTCTAAACTGTTAAACAGTAAAAACTAATGTCCAGACACAACTCATTTTCTAAACTGTCATACAGTAAAATTATGTCCAGACACAACTCATCTTCTAAACTGTTAAACAGTGAAAACTAATGTCCAGACACAACTCATCTTCTAAACTGTTAAACAGTAAAAACTAAAGTCCAGACACATCCCACCTTATAAACTGTTATACAGTAAGACTAATGTCCAGACACAACTCATCTTGTAAACTGTTCAACAGTAAAAACTAATGTCCAGACACAACTGATCTTCTAAACTGTTAAACAGTAAAAACTAATGTTGAGACACATCCACTCTTCTAAACTGTTAAACAGTAAAAACTAATGTTCAGACACATCCACCCTTCAAACCTATTATACAGCAAAACTAACGTCCAGCAACAGTTTGTATTTTAAACTGTTATACAGTAAAAACTAATGTCCAGACACAGTTTGTCTTCTAAACTGTTCAACAGTAAAATTATGTCCAGACACAACCATCTTCTAAACTGTTAAACAGTAAAAACTAATGTTCAGACACATCCACTCTTCTAAACCGTTAAACAGTAAAACTAATGTTCAGATACATCCACCCTTCAAAACTATTATACAGCAAAACTAACGTCCAGACACAGTTTGTCTTCTAAACCGTTATACAGTAAAACTAATATTCAGACACAGTTTGTCTTCTAAACTGTTCAACAGTAAAAACTAATGTCCAGACACAATCCATTTTACAAATTGTCATACAGTAAAATTATGTTCCGACACAACCATCTTCTAAACTGTTATACAGTAAAAACTCATATGTGAGAGCAAGAAACGACCTATCTTCTAAACTAAAACGTGTGCAATCTCATGTCTAATGACCCGCCATTTAAAATGTATAAAGTAGGAAATATTGTTTGACAACCAAATATGACTCACCTTCTAAACTATATAATGTATGATGTTAAGACACGACCAACTTTCTAAAGTTTCATACAATAACAGTTAATACCTGATAATATAGAACATTGTACGTTAATTGTAATACTTACTGCGTTTGGTGCCAATCGGGCCCTCGAAGGATTACATAGAGGGAAAGGGGGGGGGGCATTCCGAACGCTGACCCTCATATGTCACTTACCGGAGGACCTGAGAGTACATGCCTTGTTTATTGACAACGGATCCAGCAGTTCGACAATTATAAGTGGACACGCACACACACAAACCTTTGTCAAATAAAGATTCACAAGTTTTCTACATTGCATAACCTAGTTATTGAGCAATCTTTCCTCATTTCCTTTTAATGTACTTTATGTTTCATAAACGAAACTGAAACTGTGACCTTTTATTTAAATGTTAATTAAGTTTTGCAGGAAATTCGTGACATAAAATTATATAATGAGTAAAGGAATAGTTTCATATTGTAATAATATCAATCGAGTGAGAAAAATTCTATGTATTATACTTTCAGATTGTGATAAATATGATGAACACGTAGTTGCTTTTCTTTTATTTAGTAGATATTTAATAAAATTGTTGTTAAAAATTACCAACTTACAACAGTTACAAGTAAAATCGTTACGGTATAATTCCAAATTTACAAACCCATAATTATGGTGTTTTGATTATTTGAATAGCCTGACATGGCCAGATGGTTAGGAAGCTCTACTCGCAATCTGCGGGTCTCGGGTTCGAATCTCCGTCTCACCAAACATGTTCGCCCTTTCAGCCGTGGGGGGTGTTATAATGTGACGGTCAGTCCCACTACTCGTTGGTAAAAGGGTAGCCCAAGAGTTGGCGATGGGTGGTGATGGCTAGCTGCCTTCCCTCTTGTCTTACACTACTAAATTAGGGACAGCTAGCGCAGATAGCCCTCATGTAGCTTTTCGCGAAATTCAAAACAAACAAACCCATTATTTGAATAAATATTTATAACACTAAGACTTTGTTGTCATTTTCCTCAAGAAAATGTTTAACAATAAGAGCATTTATTTTTTTTCTTGATGAAGATGTGTTACGTTTTTAAACGATTTAGAATATCCTCGCCAAAGTGAGATAAACAGCTCACATCAAAGTTTTTGAGGCAGTTTATTTCACTCTTTTAAAATTATCAATGTATTTTATATGCTTCATCCAACAAATCAGATGTTTGATTTTCTCGGTCAACATTTCGGAATCTGGAAGTTTGCCAAAGGGAGGATACTGGAATTGTTGAGATTATCACTCAGTAAAGCTTTAAGTATCTTTATCTTGAAGTGTATGATAAAATAAAAACGTGCTTTATTGTTGAAATAAACATAATTCTATTGTTACCGCAGCGCCATTCAGTAATTATTTAGATAACCAGTACCAGCCTCAGTAAAAGTATATCACGTGACTGTCCAGATTATTGGACTCTAGATTAACAATTATACATACTAACTGTTCAGTGGACACCTGTTTCATTACTCCAACATCTGAGAGCAGTACATACACATCATTTCGTGCCTGATTCAGTAGTAACACAGGTGAGTAAACGAGCATTCTTACTTTTTCTATGGAGTTTCAAGGTATTTTAAATTACGACATGATAAACTGGATTAAAATCCAACTAATCTTTACTGCAGTTTAGTTATTATCATTCATTTATAAGCTGAATTTCTATTACGAAACGTTGAAAAGTATAATCATAAGTAATTTTGCTGGTGTAAAATTGGTTTAGTTTTTTATCAGACGAATAAAATAAACTGGACTTCGTTTTTGCTAAGGGGCTTGTTACAAACACATATAATAAATTCGAGATTTCTTTATGGCCGTAAATTGTATTGTTAAAATGTGGTTGGATTAACATGTTGCTTTCATACTTTGGAGTAAAATTTTGTTCTGCGTCGCGAACCAGAAAATTACACATCAAATAAACAAACTATTCTACAAAATGTGGATATTAATTTTTTTCCCCGTTATAACAGACACCGAACCACTCGAATAATATCTTGAAATATTGATTTAGTTATACTTTGTACGTACATCTAGTGGGTCAAGTTATATCAGCTATCAAACGGCATTAAGACTACCGTAGAAAACAAAACGGTAACTGTATAGGCATATGAACGTAATACACAATGGTAACTATTATAACTGTTGTATAAAACTTTTTGATTGGCCGATATCAACTTCGTTATGATATATTAATGAGGAAAAACAGATAATTAGCTTAGGTCATTTTAACAGCTTATATTTCCTACTTATTTTTAAGTTACATTTCACTAAACTACTGATAACACGCTGACATGCTGTGTTTTGAAATACAAACTAAATGCGAATTACGGTTAATTTAGGTTTATGTGACTTTCCTTCGATTAATTTTCGTCTCCTGGTGGGTCAAACGGTAAGTTTAAAGACTTAAAACACTAAAATCTAGGGTTCCATTCTCTGTGGTAGACTGAGCAAAGATAGCCTGTTGTGCAACTTTGCACTAAAACAAACAAACCGATTAATTTTCAACGTCAGATCTGTACAATATATATATGTGTATATACATAGCTTTGAAAATAACATCTTAATATACTCGTTAACATGAAACTAGTTTGGGGTTGATGTTATGCTAAATTTTCTTCCAGACAGGTTATCATGCCTTACAAAATCATCGATTACGACTTCACCACCGAAGCCGATCTGGCTCGTTTGATTCTTGATTACAAAGGAATTGAGTATGAATCTGTGAGATTGAGCAAGGAAAACGCTGCTGAAGCAGAAGCAAGTAAGAGCTCTCTAAATTCATATTATTATTCATAAACTATTTATTTCATTACCACTCAGTTTTTACCAAGTCTAACATTTTCAATATAAGAAACAGTTAAACTAATTACACTAATTATTTCCCACAGTTAATATCCCATAATACTAATACTGTTCCTTGGTGGGTCAGCCGTAAGGTTACAGATTTTCAACGCTAAAATCAGGAGATTGATTCCTGTGATAGACAAAGCGTAGATAGTCAAATATGTGGCTTTGCGCTGAAAAACAAACCATGTTATCTGTAAATAAAACTTCCCAAAAACATTAAGCGACACAGTTTTCCGCTTAAAATGTATGTTTAAAACAAACTGAGCCTCCCCAGTGGTTCAACAGTTAGTCTGTGGACTTACAACGCTAAAAATATGGTTTGAATGCGCGTGGTGGCAAAATCAGATAGCCCATTGTGTAGGTTTGTGCTTATCTACAAAACAACCAACCAACTAAAACAAACTGAACCTAAAATGCATTTTCAACGTTTACAAGTGTCTCTAGTAATATTTTTCCCTAGATGTTCTGCTACGAAATTCAACAATATTATTACAGCCATTGTTCATATCATTGAACCTGTAGAAACATCAAATGGAATGAGTTTCGTGTGCAGAAATGCCGGCACTCTTGGCATATCCCCAAGTTATTTGTGTCGTGTGCAGAAATAATATAGTGTACTCAAAGTCTATTCACAACATACATACCGGTATTCTACCTCTGGCTAACAGCTATGTCAGAATGTTTTGTAAACATCATCTTTGTGTTTGGTGCTCAAAAATATTACCCTGTAAGATACCTTAAAATTCATTGTGGTTGATGTAGGGTTTTATCCAGCATCTGCTAACGCATTTAGAATCCCTAGAGGACAATAGGAAATAGTATGTTTTATTCATTTAGGTTCTAAAAATTTTAATCATTTATGAACTGCAGAGGATCACCTCAATCACGCAATGCAGTTTTCAAACTCACTATTTCACCTCTAGGCATACAAAGCAAAATGTACACATGTCTTCCTTAATAACACCAACCCATCACACTCACAAAATCAGATACGCTATATGTAGAAATAGTGGAAACATAAAGGCGGAAGTGACTGACCTAAAACTTATGTAAGCATTTTCAAGTGCATAACACCGTTCTGACCGTCTGAATATATATATATATGTATATAATGTTCTTTTTTTATTGATATTAGCCCTTATGTTCATAAAATCGTGTGGCGCATTTTTTTCTTTAGTTGGCAGTGTTCTCAAGTGCTTAGCTTTGGGCTTAGTAGCTTTAAAATTTGTATGGTTGCGGATTGCGCATTTTTAGTGCTTCTTTGAATAGGAATATCTAGAAAATGGATTTCCCTACAATTGTCTGATAATACTATATGCGTTGTAATACTAAGTGACGTTCCAGATACACGAGTCACGCTCTACTGTTAACACTGTACAGCTAAATTGTGAATTAAATAAAGTTTATATTGTGGGAGGCTTATCACTTTCCTTGGGGATTGGGAAGAACCCTGTTAATTTTATGGGGAGAAGATCAAGAGTCTAAATCATTATTCCAAAAATAGAAATTTGTTTTTTGTGCATAAGAAATCATAACCACAAAATACACACAAACAAACAAACACGTGGTCAGGGAGATCAGCAATTATAGTGATAGCATAAGAACTCATAATCACAAAATACACCCACACCCACAAACAAACTAACACATCGAAACAAACACATGGTCAGGGAGATCAGCCATTATAGTGATAGCTATTTTTCAAATTTTTATCACGCTTGTTATTTATTTGTTATGCCAATTTTGACTTTATACAGTTATGGTCGACACTATATTTACTAAAAAAATTTTGAAACTGAATTTATTGGGTGTTCTTGCTTTCTCAAACAACGTCCCCCTCCTTCACCCGGGGACCTAGCGGTAAGTCTAAGAGCTTGTTACGCTAAAAATCGGATTTCAATAGCCGAAGTGAACACACTTTGTGCTTATCAAAAAACAAAGAAACAAATACACAAACGACATGTTTTCAGAACTTTTTTCCAAATCTTAAAAGCTTTAGTATGTGTTGAAAGTCATTGTAGTCACTCGGTGGGACTATGGATTTACAACCCTTAAATCAGGGGTTCGATTCTCCTCGGTGGAAACAGCAAATAGCCCAATCTGGCTTTGCTATACATACACACACATACAAGCTCTTTTAATATATCTTGTGACCAAAAATAAATTGTGCTAATGTGTTTAGTATTTTTTATCGTTATCAATGCAATATTTTATATGTAACGGTTAAATGATTTATGCTGTAATGTTTTTTTGTCACATAGTTTACCTTTCGTAGATTTTTTTTGTTTGTTTGTTTGAATGTATGCACAAAGCTACACAATGGGCTATCTGTGCTCTGCCCACCACGGGTATCGAAACCCGGTTTCTAGCGTTGTAAGTCCGCAAACATACCGCTGTTCTCAAGCTTAGCGCTGATCATCTTGTAGCAATTTCTGTAGGAAAATAAAATGACAAACATTTTAATCCAAGCACTACTGAGCAAATGTGTTATTAAATAATTCAATAATAGTTTAAAAATTAAAACTGTTTGTTTGTTTGTTTGTTGAATTTCGCACAAAATTACTCGAGGGCTATCTGCGCTAGCCAGCCATACTTTTCAAATGATAAACAGTTGTGCAACAACACACACCGTCAATTCCTGACTCTTAACCAACGAATAGTGAGATTGTCCATATTATAACGCGCCCACGGATGAAAGACCTAGCATGTTCGGTGAAGGGATTCAATCCCGCGACTGGCAGATTGTGAGTCGAGGGCCCAAACCATCAGGCCATGCCAGACCTTAAAGTTGTACCGAAGTTATCGTTTTATTTTTCTGTTCTGATGTGGTTTGGTTTTGAATTTCGCGCAAAACTACACGAGGGCTATCTGCGCTAGCCGTCCCTAATTTAGTGGTGTAAGACTAGAGTGAAGGCAGCTAGTCATCACGACCCACCACAAACTCATGGGCTACTCGCTACCCTCAGATTGCGAGTCGAGCGCCCTAACCACTTGGCCATGCTGTGCCTTCTGTTCTGAAAACTACATTATAGTTTATATGTATATATATATATATAATTATAATACAAAAAAGTTTAATTAAAACGTGCACGGGCTATAATGTTGTTACTACATTGTAGCGTATAAGATGTGCCCTGGTTTTTGGAGTTAATTGTGGAAGTAGGCCCGTAGCAGTGGGGATACGCCGTCTTTCTTTTTCAATCGCAGAGCCTCACGTGTAAATAAAAAATAATTCTATTGTAAAATAAGAACAAATAAAAAAAGGCACAAAAAATAAAATAGAAAAGAGTAAGGTGTGGGTACTCCAGCCCACAACGTCTCATATCTATATACGTATCTCTTCACTGTCTGCAGACAGTTGTGAGAAAATGACTGCTCTCAGAAGGAAAGAAGTGAAAAATAAACAAGAAAAAAGAAGGTGTGTGTGTGTGTTGCTTATAGCAAAGCCACATCGGGCTACCAGCTGTGGTACAAGAAAAAAAAAAGATTCCTACCACTGAGGGTGGTGAATAGAAAACATCCCCTCTTGAAGTAAGTGATCCAGTCCCGTTATGGTAGTAGAATCTCAAATTAATAAATTAGTAGCACAGCAGACAAATTATACTAGGATAAAATCCCTATATATATATATATATATATAAAGCAGCCTCACAAAGACACACTGATTAATTCAACTCTGTATCTTGAAACTAACTCTACAATCTTCACAGCTATCTTGTATTATCATCTAGCTTCGAATGTGCGAGAAAAAAACATGATGTCAACTTAGAATTTTCTAGGTGTTCTACACCTTATAGCTAGAGGCGTCGCTAGGCACTGTCACATGGGGCCTGTGCCCCTATTCTATTTGACAGCACCCCGAATCCCCAGTTGATGTCTTGAAAAATGATCACTATCATACTGATACGCCGAAAAGTCCCGCGCCAATGAGCCTGGCTTGGCATGACCAGGTGGTTAGGGAGCTCGAATCGCAATCTGTAGGTCACGGGTTGGAATCCTCGTCTCACCAAACACTGCTCGCCCTTTTATCCATGGGGGTGTTTTAATGTGATGATCAATCCCACTATTCGTTAGTAAAAGAGTAGCGTAAGAGTTGGCGGTGGGTAGTGCTGACTAGCTGCCTTCCATCTAGTATTTCATTGCTAAATTAGGGGCTAGCGCAGATAGCCCTCGTGTAGCTTTGCGCAAAATTCAAAACAAAACCAAAGCCTATGAGCCTTAGCCCCGAATCTTTCAAACCCCTAGCGACGCCTCTGCTTATCACTAACTACAAAAGGCTTATTACCTTTGTCGTGCTGTCGAGAACGCTTTCACGTTCCTTTTTGGTAATTCTCAGCAATGTACATCGTCGCTTAGCATTAAAATGATCACCTTGTTGTTCTCAGGCCAACTATGGTGTTTATGTTGAATGCTCAATATTCATGTTTATTTGCTAGAAAGGTCTGTTTTTTATTCTTTTTTTTATAACTTCGGTGATATAACAGCAGAATAGTTTAATTCAGAAGTTTTATGACATTGAGTTGTAGCCAAAAGCAAAATAAAATTTACCAAGTAGTGTTTCAGCTAAACCTTACGTTACTGCTTAAATTAGACTATAAATAAGCCTTCTATCACTAACGCTATAGAGGCAGTGTTAAAAAAGTTTTAATTGGTGAATAAATGATAAATATTCTTTTGGTATTTTAACACATATATTATCTACTTGACCTTAAAACATAAAGAAAAATAAACGTTTATTACTACCAAATATCTTTTATTCTTTGTACAGTCGAAAGAGTTGAACATTTGTGTCGGAATGTCCGCACTATGTTTCTACTTCCTGACCTAGAATACAGTGAAAAGGCTCAAGAGTGCTATTAGAGTCTCTTTCAGTGTGCACATGTACTTTTGTTCATGATGACATTTCATTTTTCTGCGTAATTTTTACTAAAAATGTGGTGATTAAAGAATTATTTCGAGACTGATGAAATAAGTGAAGAGTAAGTGCGTTTTGGAGGTACGGGCAAATTCGTTTTAGTAAAATTCTATAATTTTTGTTAATCATTCAACATTGGTTCCCGTCATTTTGGACGGTATACTAGTAGCTAATAAATAACTTACAATATTAAACAAATACAGCTTACAAAAATACATTGAATCAAATCTAAGTATAATCTTATAGTTTAATGGATTTAAACAATCAGTTTTTTCTTTAAGACATTATTTTTAAGTAAACTATTAGAACTATATATATATGTATTACTGTAAAGTACGTGTTCTTTCATTGGGTTGATTACTTGATGAGGCTCAGTCCACATAACGATAACAAATTAGTTTATTTACTTCTTAACGTTTGCTACAGGCTTCTTTCACATGTCCACAGTTGTAGACATAACTTCACAAATAACGTTTTCACTTTCAACAGAATTTGTTTAAGTTTTGCTGACTGATCTGTTTACTTACTTCTAATACACTACAAACGCCGAACATACGCGATCATTCACTAACTTCTCGTTCACTACTCAAGTAAATAATTAACTGAATGAATGGCACTCTTACACGCATTCAAAGGTGTAGTGGGATGGGAATGCATGGGCACGAAGTACCTGAATATTTTGTGTAGCCGGAACGCCGTACTGCCCTATTTCGAACAAATCCCCCTTACACAGTTATGCATTAGATTTCGCGTTCCGGCATTTTATTTAGCACTACATCACTGCTCGTATTTATAATGTGTCCTTTTTTCTAGATACTTTGGAAAGTCTCTCAACAAATTAATGCATTCTAAGTATTCTAGAACTACTTTTATATATACTTTCTAAATCTAGTATTATCATCATGTTAGCGACTCTCTCTAGCAAACAACTAACTTAAAACATTAAAAATATAGCTTACAACAAAACATCAAAGGTTTTACTTATTAAAAATACGTTTTCTTTAAACGCTTTGAATGAGCGACTATTTTTCCTTGAACTGTTATGTTTTACATTAATCTGTTATATTTCTGTCTCAGCTGCCCCATTCGGAAAGTTACCAATCCTAGAAGAAGATGGAGAAGTTACCGTAGGAGGACCTGCATTACCATCATACTTGGCAATGAAACATGGTAAAAAAATAGCTTAGGTTTAATATCCACATCATTTTTCTAGTATATGTTACCAGTTGATGCACATTATAATAGCAATATCATCGAGTATTTATTCATACGAAATATTTTGTAGTTATTTTGGTATTTTTCATACTTGCCAGCTTAAAAGCTGTAGAGTCGACTTTGTAAGTTTTAGAAATAAATCAGTGGCTTTCGGCTGCAATAACTTTTATAAAATTTATGTATTGTTACCATATCATATCAAGAAAATTAGGAAAGTATAACATTTTAATAATTAACAAAACTGGGGTTTATTTTAACCAGACTTTGCAGGATCGGACATCAAACAAAAAGGCAAGTGTGCTACAATCATCGTTGGACTTCGAGAGATGTTCGTTAAATTTCGGCAGGAAGATATGATGAAACTGACTCAGGAAGAGAAGGTGTGTTTGTTTTGTTTAATTATAAAATAACTAGAAGGCAGTTTATGCACTAAAAAGTAATAGTGCAATTTATGAAAGTTACAACGTGAAAGTCGACTCTAAAAATATATTATTATAAAACCCAATAGTCTAAATTTGTGATAAAAAATCAGTTGTTTTTTCTTCACGTTCCTCTTAATTTGTCTATTTAGCATTCAAAATCACAGGCTCGTAAAATACATATTGTTGCGTCAGCGAGGTCACGTGACTAGTATCACGCCACTTCTCTCGAACCT